GCGTTCCTTTCTTTATGGGAGAAGGTGTGGAAATAGTGCTAAAATACAGAAACCATGGAGTTGTTAGAATTGAGTAAGTCAGTATATATCAGGAGTGTAAGGTATCACTGTACATGTAGCAAGCTCTTAATAAATATTACAGCAAAAAGCAATATTTGCTTATAAGTGAAAACATTATTTGGGAGTTTTATCTTGAATTATAATAAAAGTGGGTAAGAGGTGTGTTCATGATGACATTAAGCTCTTTATAGAAATTTTTGTACAGAAAAATTAAAAGCCTTCCATTTTTTAAATGTAGAATAAAAATACAAACATGGTAGTATAATTTGGGAAAATTTTTTGATCCATCTATTATGTCAATGTATGCTGTAGCCTAGAGTTAATTTCTGAACTTATTTTATAGAAAGATAATAAGTTTTCCTGTTTGCAGGCAAAATTTTTTCTTTTTAGTTCAGATAACTACCAAAGAAAACTACCAAAGAAAACAAACAAAAAATGACTGTTACCACTCTGAAATTAGAACACTCTGAAATTAGAACAGGGCATGCCACAACATTGTCATTTTCATGAAAGATTAAAGCTCAAAAACTTTTCATTTGAATAACAAACATAATTATCAGGACATTCTTCATGTGTGTCCAGTATGAAAATTTTTCAGACTGTTGTTAATTAAAAAAATTTTTTTGTTGTGAAATAGTTCTAGTCTCAATTTGCAAAAATATAGTACACAATTTTCCCACATACACGTCACCTAGATTTCGCTAATGTTTGAAGCTTATACTTGTGTACCCATAGTACAGATGCAGGAATCAGCATTAACAAGTCCGTCATTTTTGTTTTGTTTTGTTTTGTTTTTGATGCTCTCCATTAAACGGCGGTATTCTAGACTGGGAAATCAGGCAAGGATCTCCTGTGGTACTTGGTTGTCCTGCCTCTGACAGTCTCGGCCCATTACTTGTTGGTTCTCTATATTTCATGCCTTTAGTGGAATAATAGCTGTTTAGATCTGCCCTCAACTTGTCTGTTATTTTCTCATGCTCAGACTGATTTTATATCAAATGTCTAATCAAAAATAGTTCTGCATCTTTGGCAGGAGTGCCATAGAAGAGATGGAGTTTCCTCACCAGTGTATTGTTAGGAGCTACGTGGTACCGATTTGCCATCTAGCTGGTAGTGTCCCTCTTCATCCTTTGGTTAAGAGAGGCGACTACCAGGCTTATAAACTGTCAAGTTACTGTTTTTTTCCCCTTTGTAATTAACAAATGTCTCACAGAAATATTTTGACACAGTGTAAATACTGTTTCTACTACCCATTAATTTTGGCAGCTATTGATACTCTTGCTTTACTGGTACATTTTAACTTGAATTTTTAACAATTTTTTCTTTTGGTTTTCTTGTTAGTTTCATAAATGGATAATAATCCCAAAGAAATTAAGATGAAAGCAACCTAATTTGTAAAACTTAAAGTACGTTTCTTGCTATATAATTTTTTCTGAATGTACTCATTATGATTGTAGCACAACCAAAGATCTTCAAAAAAAGCTTAATAGAAATAATTCTGTTGTGAAAATGCTTTATGTGTACTTCAGAATATACTAAGCATTAAAGAACAAAGCCACCTATCTCATGGCAGGTGAATAAATAAGCAGCTGATCTATGCAGGCTGGCATTGTAGCTCAGCAGGTTAAGTTGTGAGTGCCGCTTTAAGCCCTGTCTGCTTCACTTAAAATCCATCTCCTTGCTAATGCACGTTAGGGAAAGCAATGGAATAGGACTTGAATACTTGGGCTCCTTCTGTCTGCATGAAAGAGCTGGCTTTGGTTTGACCCAGTTGGGCCACTATGAGCCATTTGGGGGATGAACCAACAGATTGAAACCTCTTTCTATGGAACTCTGTCTTTCAAGTAGTATATCTTTAAACAAAAAAATTAAGCAAAGAAGATGCTAGAGGAGTAAAACTAATGAAAGTTACTTTGAATGATGCATTTACTAGAGTAATTAACAGGTTTTCTTAGTTATTTTCACCAATTACTATTTTTGCCAAATACCCAGGCCTTCTTTAGCTTAATTTTCAAATAACGTTTTTAAATTATGTTAAAGGCTTATTGAGTCCATTTTTTTTTTGCATATAAAGGACTAAATGGCAAGTTTAAATGCTTTAATTTCATCCTTTAATTTCATCATGTTGATCCTGATGGTTTTTCTCCTCCTTTAATATTCAGTATAATTTAGGCAGATACAATTTAATGATTGCCTGTTATCTTTTATTCCTTAGTTAGTAACTGTTCTAAAAATATATTTTGTTGTGGATTCTTTTTCCTCTTTTACATGTTAGTAGGGCATGAAACATTCAGATTAGCTATCGACTGCTTCTAAGAAATGCTAGATATTTGAGTAACTTAAATGCAAATGATGTTTTGGATGGTTTCTTGTCCAAAAGGATGGGGAGAAAATAATGAAATTTGGTTAGATATTTGCTCTAAAGCAGTATAATTGTTGGATTTTTCTGTTTCATTACAGCTGTCTTGTTTTGCTAAATTGTTTCTTGTGATTCAGTCTTTTATCTCCAAAATACAATGGAATATGATGGAATCCCTTTAATTTCCAGGCTTCCTTCTTTTTTTTTAAAGGGATATCCCATTTGATTATATATATATAATTTCCCATTTAAAAGTAGTCTTTCCCTCTAGAATCGGTCTAATATTTCATTTAACTATTCCTGAGGAATATGAGGTTTTTTTTGTTTGTTTCTTTGTTTTGGAGGGGGGCAAATTAACATTTCTGAAATTAAAGATTTGAAAATTACATGCTTTGGCAAGGATCTGGTTTGTTTTCTTACTACTTACTAATCTCTGGAAAAGAACATCAGAAATATGTAGTGTTATGATTTCAGGATAATCACTTTTGGAGTTTTCAAATACCATACTAAAAAAATTCTTGAAGTTGGTGATACCCCCAGAGAGAGAGAATGAAAGTCAGTGAAAGTTTTAACCTAAAAAAATTCAAGCTTTTATATCTGCTTTAAATAGCCATGAAAATTTTCCTTTTTTTTTTAAAAAAAGTTATTTCTTAATTAGTAGGCTTCATTTGTAAAACATGTACTGAATTACCAACTGAGTGTGCCAAGCATTTCCCCGAGAACTGGAGATACACAGACTGCTTCAGTTACAGTGTTCCTTTCTTCTACTGCATTATTACAGAGGGAGAAGGAGAGAGAGTATGCTCCCATCCTCTGGCTCACTCCCCAAGCGGTCTCAACAGGCAGAGCCGAACTGATCTGAAGCCGGGATCGTCTGCATCTCCAGTGTGGGTGCAGAGTCCAAAGGCTTTGGGTCATCCTTCATTGCTTCCCAGGCCACAAGCAGGGAGCTGGAATGGAAGTGGACCAACAGGGTAGGATCCAGCACCCATATGGGATGCCAGTTCTTGCAGGCAGAGGATTAGCTTGTTTAGCCACTGTGCTGGTCCTAAGAATTTCCTTCCTTTTTAGAAGTGCCTTAGAATCAGTAAGAATAAGCAATTAAAAGATAAGTAGGTGACAAATTTTATATCATATTTCCAGCTTATGTAGAATGTCATTTTATGAATAGTTAGAAATTTTTTAAGATTTTAAAAATTTTTATTGGAAAGGCAGATGTACAGAGAGAAAGATATTGCATCTGCAGGTTTACTGACCAAGTTGCTACCATGGCCAGAGCTTAGCTGATCCAAACCAGGAGCTTTTTCAGTGTCTTCCGTGTGGGTGCATGGTCCCAAGGCTTTTTGGGTCCTCCCTCCCTGGGAAAACAGGGAGCTGAATGGGACATGGAGGAACTGGAACACAAACTGGCGCCCATATGGGATCCCAACACATGCATGCCAAGTGAGGATTCAGCCACTGAGCCATTGTGCTAGGCTCATGAATAATTATAAATTTATAAAATGGCAAAGTCAACTTAAGATCAGTGAATTATATAAGAAGTGACTAGAAATCGTAGTTTTTGTAGAAACTGATTACCCTGTTTTGTGCTTAATGTAATTAGAATGCTGTCCCCTTTTTAAATTCTAGAAATGCTTAGAACTCATAAGCTATTTAAGCTGATTTAGAAAAATATTGCAAATAGTTTAATTTGATATACATCTCAGGAAAATGCTTATGACATTTGTATGTGAAATACCTATATTTACTGTTTATAATTTAAATTTCCAGTAAGATTCTAAAGATTTAAGTATTTATAAAAATGTTCAGATTGTTGATATATTAACAGGTAAATAGCCCCAAAACACTTCATTTGAGGTAGCCTGTCATTGCTGATTTGTTCGCTTTAAACTGAAATTCATTCTCTAGTAGTTGAAATATGAATCCTACAGTGCAAATAAATACTTAAGCTTTTTCCTCATAAAATATCACATAGGATGGCATTTATCCTAGCCTGTTGAGACATTGCTTGGGATGCCTGCAATCCAAGTCAGTATTTATGTTGAAGTCCTAGTTATGTTCATGGTTTCAGCATCCTGCTGGTGCACCCTGGAAGGCAGCAGGTAATGGGCCAGATAGTTGGGTCTCTGCCACCCATGTGAGAGACTTGGATTGAGTAAACCGTGGATGGGAAGTCAGTCTCTCTCGCCCCACTTCCCTTTCCTTTCTGTTCTTCATCCCCCTTGCCTGCCTTCTTCCCTCTCTATACCTTCCTTCTCTCTCTCTGCCTCTCAGGTAAAAGAAATAAAGAAGTTTAGATCATACCTTTTTTTTTTAACTTTTTTTTTTTTAAAGATTTATTTATTTTATTGGAAAGGCAGATATACAGAGTAAAGGAGAGACAGAGAGGAAGATCTTCCATCCGATGATTCACTCCCCAAGTGAACGCAACAGCCGATGCTATGCCGATCTGTAACCAGGAGACAGGAACTTCTTCCGGATCTCCCATGTGGGTGCAGGGTCCCAAGGCTTTGGGCCGTCCTCGACTGCTTTCCCAGGCCACAAGCAGGGAGCTGGATGGGAAGTGGAGCTGCCGGGATTAGAACTGGCGCCCATATGGGATCCCGGCGTGTTCAAGGTGAGGACTTTAGCTGCTAGGCCACACTGCCGGGCCCCAGATCATATCATTTTTAATAAAGCACATGGGAGAATGCAATTAATTAACATGGAGCTAGATAAGATTTTACTGTATCATTTTATCTTCCTCAGTATTCCTATATTCTTCATTTGAATAAAAAACCTCATTCTGAGAATACCTGTTCATTTTCTGTGTAAAGATATATTATTAAATCCTAAGTCTTAATGAGTGACTCACTCTTTAAGGAAATGCTGGCTCTCGAAATATTTGTAGCAAGATTTGTTTAATTCTGCGAATATGTATGTAGACTTTGGAATTTTGGATATTCTGAAAGTGAGCTCCCTTGGGAGAAGCTGATAAATGGATCTATTTTGACTCAGTCTACTCATGTATAACTTGCTCTATAACCCAGACCCAATACTTTTTTGGGGTTGGTTAGGTTGCATTTTTTCAAATGTATATTTGTGTGGTGAAAGTGTTGGAGGTGTTTAACTGAACAGTTCTTCCTGGAGAATAAATTATAAAACAAGTCCTTATTACTGTGTATAAGATAACGATTTCTAGGGATTTTTTTTTTCCATTAAAAATATGCTGGGCATATTTCTTATTTCAAATAGGCTTTTCCCTCTTTGCAGTGTTTTCATTTAGCTATGTATTATTACTGAGTAGTAATTTAGAGATGAAGAAAAACTGGGAAATTTGGAAAAATCGGATTTTGTTTATAATTTCTAACAAAGGTAACCTAATATTTTTACTATTGTACTAATCTAGAAATGTTTGATTATTTTTGCTGTTTATTTTCACTATATAGTTGAAAAAGAATGACTTATGAAGAAAATGTTTTTTCCTAAACTATAATAGTATTGTTTATATAATTTGAAAGCACTTCTGTAGCTCCTGTTTGCGCTATGCAAGCGTTCCCTGCGGTAACTCTAACATAATGTTAAGTCTGTCTCATGTGGAGGAGCTGCCCCTTAAGAACTGCACTGTGGTTCATTGTTAATCATTTTTTTTTTTTGACTCTTGAAAAGACTTTCAGATCTTTTTTTTTTTCTGATTTGTGCTTCTTTCCTCTTGTCATCCCTCACATACCTCCTCAGTATGATAATTCTGTAAGATACTTTTAAAAAACCTGACCTAAAAATAAGGGTTTCTTCAACACTGAGAGACTTCAGGACTTAAAATCCGCTGGAAACTAACGATGAAAAAAAAAAGTAGCTGTCAGATCATAGCAGACTTGCACAGTTATCTGTTTGATACCTTATGCTGAATGGTAATTTCAGCTGCTGCTTTCATATTTCTTTTTTCATTTCTTTCCTTTCACTTTTGGAAATCGTAGATTTGATGGTGAAATTTACAGGTTTTTCATTTTTTAGGCCAAACTGTTTTGATTTCTCATGTGTGTAGAATTGGATAATTTTTCTAACCAGGTGTTTGGCTTGTTCTTTTCATCTTTTAGGCTTTTAAAATTTAGTCTGAATGTTGTTAGGTAATGGAATAACCATTCCTTTTCAGCTTTTGCTATATTCCAAACTGGCTGCCAGAGCCAGGAACAAGTGAAGGCATAAAACACTAACTTTGGTTGATTGCTACCTTCTTAGTGCTGAGATAAAACCTTTGTTGGTTGATTGATAGAGATCAAGAGAGCACAAGCCTCGTTCCACTAACAGGTAAGGATTCTTTGTCATAAACAGTTGCTGTGAGAGGGAGATTATGTGATAGCATTTTATCCTTAGTATAGGACACTGTGACATCAAACTATTCCATAGCTAGGGTATGTAGCACCTTTACATTTAGAACAATAAATGAGATTTAATAGGGTTGTTTCACCAAGTATAATTGGTCTGTTTTCCAAAGGTAGTACTGTTCAATTTTGTCCTGCAGACCTGTAACTGTAAATATGTACCTCCATATCTTATTCTCCTTTCAGCTTTTCCTTGATCAGATACTGTGTACTTTGAACTTCCTTCTCCTCTCCATTTACCTTTTTATAATAAAGCTTAACTATTTTCTGGTATCTTTGCCATCATCTGTTATTTGAGTATATCTTACTGCTTTAATTTCTACATTGTATAGCCACTTAATGATCATTCATGGTCCTTCTTGACCCAAGGTAAAAATGATCATGCATTTTTAAAAGGGTTTTGAATCTGCATTATCTGTGTCTGCTATTCTGCCCTCCCAAGTTTAAAGATAAGTGATTTGAAGAATCAGTTTTTTCATGACAGTAATCATAGCTTTGATGAAATGCAAGTTGAGCTTTTTGTTGCTATAATATGGACCTAGAGTGATGAATTCTTTAAATGACCACTGATTTGAAAACCTAGAAACAAATTCAATTTCTTAGATACTCCCGAAGTTTAGTTGTATTCCCGTTAATATGCTTCATTGCCCTGTTTCTGCTTTTCATTCCATCATCTTCTCTTTGATAGAAGAATTAACTGGGACTCCTCCTTTGGCGTCTCCGAGGTTGAGTGCCTTTTCCCTGTCCCCTTACGACAGCTATGATCTTATTTCCAGTCATAATTTATTATTTTTTGGTTCAGTCTTCCACTCGATGTTGAGTGGTTTGTCACAGAGTGTGTTATGGCTTAAACCAATACAGGTCCCTTCTTAATTGTTCTGAAAAATTAAACATTTGTGTTGACAGATTTTTAAAATTCGAATTAAGAAGGCATTAAGGAAAGCATACCTGAAGGTAGCTCCTTTTTAATCCTGAGGATAAGCCATTACAAACTCAAATGACCAGATAATGTAATTTCTTAATAAGAAGTTTTTCTTAAATCTATATTCAGCTCTCTATTTCAGTGCTTCTCTCCTACCAGAGGTGCAAGGAGTGATCCTAGAACCACAGATTCAGCCAAGACCACGGAGAGCTTTTGACGTCAGGGGTCCTCTTTCTCCACTGAACCCTTGGAGACAGAATATCCAGCTTCTGGAGAGAGTGGGAAAGGATAATAAACAAGTGGGTGCTTTCCATTATTTACTTGGGTTTATTTATTGATTGGAGTGTCCTTCCATTGCCCATTCTATTGGTAAACTCCTTGGGTTCATGTAAGAACCAGGTGGGGATGCAGTTTGTCTAAGAGTGCTAACTAGTGCCCATTCAAAAAAGAAACCTGAAATTCATTAAATTTTCTCTCCAGACAGTTAAAGCAGTGGATGAATTGGGCATGTCATTTGGTAAATACCTATGTAGTCCACAGAAATTTTAAAAAGGAAATATTTACCTGTTTTGGCCTTTATGGTATTCGTGGACTTTTAAAGTACTCTTATATTTCTGTAATTTAACACTTTTTCATTTTTTGGGCAAACAAGACATCTGGTCTGTTAATGTATGTAATCAGATGTCCAGGTATTATCCTACACTGTTAGAGAACTTTTTGGTCCTTTTCCTACCCCGAATGTTAGGACTTCATGTTTGATATGTTAAGAGATATGATGATAGTACCATCATGATTTTACTGTCAAATCTAGGCTTCATTCTTTAACAGAATAAATATGTATGAATTTGTTTCAGGATATAATAATCCTGAAAACTATATTTAATATACTCAAAAGTCATTTTTCTAGTCCCTAGGGGATAATGTTTGTGGCAAAAGAGCCTATCTCCTAGATTTTCCCCATGGTATTAAGATTGTTTGCTCTTAGTTTCTCTGATGCTGAGGGAAGGATTTGATTCCAGGAAGTTCTTGTCATCTACAGTGGGTAGAATGTAAACTTGATGCCTTTGGCAAGTTTTCATTTTTCCTTGGTGGATTCCTTCTGTGACTCCAGGTATCTTGATAATGGGAGACCGGTTTATTCTCTAATTGCCCAGATTTCTTTCAACTGGTAAAACATCATACTTCTTCAGCAAAAGGAATTCTTCTAGCAGAGCCTTCATGGATGATATCTGTCACACATGCCAGCATCTGCAGTGGAAGGCAGTGGTGAATGGATCCATGCAGTATGTCTAGAAGACACAAGAATGAGCCAGCCACCTGATCTTGTCATTTATAAACTTTTAAGATTTACTCTGGTTTATTTACTCTTGGTCTGAACATGGAAAGGCTCAAGTAATCTTTTCATATTGGAATTTTACATGGCCATGAAAATATTTCTTTCTATTCAGAAGACTGACATAGAGGAAGCTTGAGAGACTTCTTTCTTTAAAGCAGCTCTCTGTATCTGTTCCATTAAAAGAATTTATGAGATTGAAAATCACCTTGATAAAGTAGGCAAGTAGTATAGGAAATCCAGAGAACAAAAAGAAATGGTTTTTTGTTAACTTACACTGAAAGAAGCTGGTAAATCAAAGGTGAACTTCTTAATTATTCCAAAAGCATTTTTAATACTAGCCTGTGCTCTTTAGCTCATCTTTTGCTGATCTTGAGCCTTATTCTTATTCTATTTCTCAAATCAACAAAATCTAGTATAGAAACACAAGAGACATTTTAAAAGTAGCTTGATCTGTCTTTTGAAATCATTAATACCTGTTAAACTTGAGGTATTGTTCCAAACTAAAGGCACATTAAAATTTGAATGATAGTGTCACATAGCAGCAGTGAATGGAGCATTGAGGATCAGTAGCATTAGAAGAAGCTCATGGGTGTAACTAAATGTTATAAATTAGTTACCCAAACTGTCAATAATTGATTGAAGCAGTTACCAAAATGTTTTATTTCTGTCTTTTATCTTTTAACTGGTCAGTCAAAAGCTATTAAAGAAACTTTTCAAAGTAATCTAATGCTGCCAGTTTGTTTTGTTTTGATACAAATTTTAAGAATGAAATCATTAAATTATTAATATGACTGCAAGTAAGATGTCTTAAAAATCTCAAAGATTTTTAGAAGCCACATTTGCCAAAGTTCCTTACTTTTTCTTGGCTGTCCACGAGAAATACCTTTTCGTTATCAATTTAAAAATTTTCTTAGTACTTAAAAATAAGTTTAAAAGGTTAGTTTGAACTAAAATTTTCTTAGAGAGTTCTGAATTACAGCTTTTCGTTACTGATTTCTGTTAAATATTTATTGATTTACAAATTAAAAAAACAGCTGCCCAACATGTTAAAAAGAACTTAGGGAACTGAAAGTGAGATTTACTTAGAAATTAAGTTGGTTGAGTTCTTTGAACCACAGAACAAAACCATTTTATGGCCTGTGAGATTATTAGCTTTTTGTTTTAGCTTTGAAGATGAAAAGTGAGTTAATCTTTTAATCTCATGCTTTGATGAAACTTTAGCGTTGTTCTTTTTAAAGTGTACAAAAGAAATGTAAGTGCATTTCTATTTACCTCATGCCACTAAAGCTATTTAAAAGTGAAACATTTTTGTATATTATTGTGAACTGATTTGTTTATTTAAACTTTTATTTTGATGCATTTTACTTTTAGTTTTTTTATATTTCGTGTCACAATATGCATTTTTCGATGTTTATTTTATGAATATTAACATAAGCTATTTTTTTCTAGAATGATTGTGTAATATTTGTATTTGTGATCATTTGAAAACTAATAAATATTTTGTCCATGAAAAAATGCACTTACTGATAAATGGCTTATTTCTGTTTCAGCAGTAGAAAGTGAAAATTGCAACAACATTTTTAAGTGTATTTTAATTTTATGTGTGTTCCGCTAAGCATTTCTGAATATAAATTATGTCCTTTGTATGTAACGGTTTTTTGGTTTTTTTTGAGAAAAAATTTTTGAAACTAAAAATGATTCTTTATGGGGGTCACCATGTGAATGTATATGACATAGGTGATCTGTTTAATCTATTTTTACATTTTCTTAATTGCATTGTCTTAGCTTTGTTTCTGGAATTGGATTTTTTTAGATACCGTTTTTATACGTCAGTTTTATAAACCATTAAAATTCGAGTTTGTATTGTAGGTGTCAGGGATAATTTGGTCAAATCTTTTAAAAATAGGTTAGTCAAATTATATCCCCTTACAAAATGGCAGACAAGAACAGTTCTACCCAGAAAAAGAACATTTGAAAATGGTGGGTGATTGGGGGACCACCCAACTGATAACAACTACTTGCAAGAGGATTGTTTGCTGTGTGAATGTTCTGCTAGAACAGATGGCTAGAAAAATGAGAAATCTTGACTTCTGAATCTCTTGAGTATTATCAAAATAGCAGAGGAAAGGGTAAATTTTGGTTTTAGTGATGTCTTTACAGCTACATAAGCTTTACCCCAATGTCACTTTGTCCTTTATATAGGACACCTATGAAAATTTGAGTGCTGAGGGTAACTTTCAGATAAATGTGTCATTGAAGCACTTGCAAAATAATTGAATGCTTGGAACATAATGGGTTAATTGGGGTTGGTGGAATAATGCACCTTTTCTGTGTAGGATCTGCTAGAAGCAAGGGGATTTCCTTTTGAATTTGGAGAAAAGTTATAAAAAAATAAACTTCAAAAATTAAAAGTAAACACCTGGATGGATGTTAGGCAAGAAATAAAAGTTGAATTAATGACACCCTGTGGCTTAAGATGGTGAAAGTTGGTCCCCCCCCCCCAAAATTCTGAGAAAATGAGAAACACAAAAGGATCTAATGATTTAGAAGAGCCAACTGTATTAGGAGTAGGAAAAGGAAGATAAAATTCTTGGCTTTATTAATCTGGTAAGTTTGGAAAAGATAAGTAAAAGATTCTGTGGATAAAGGTGGTTTTTGAATTTTAGAATTTAAAAAGGTTTATGAACCAAATATTTCTCAGTGAAAGACTATATTCCATGTGGGGAAAAAAACAGGAGCTTTTGTAAATCTTTCCTATGCATATTTGTATTAAAAGGGTGGGGTGGAATGGAGGATAAAAATTAATCTGCTGCAGAAACTTCAAAAATATCACAAAAATAATGGGTTTGTAAAGTTTTAAATCAGTGGTTTTTCTTACATAGACTATTCCCTACACTATTGATAGCTTTAAAAAATGTTACAGAATATTAAATTTGGCTTGACCATTATTTTTCAGGGTATAAGTTCATAGCCTTTTGGGTTGGTGAAGTTATAATTGGTCAGTTTCATATTAAGATGTGCCTGAGTTTTTCAGGCTTTTTAAGCTTTTCTTGCTTCCTTTTAAGTAGTTGGCTATTTTTTTTAAGTAAATAACAAGTCAAGATATTAAAGCCTACTGCAAGTCTGTATGCAGATCTTACTTTCCTTTGCCATATAGCAAGTTACACAGAATGTCAGTGCTCAGAATTCCTAAGTTTTGAGTATTTCCTACTTTATTGATCTTTTACTAAAAGAACTTAATACTAATTTTTCCCAAAAATGGAAAAAAAAATTGTTTGAAAAATAAACACATAGGTGCTCCAGAGATTTTTTTTTTCTGCTAATATTTCTATCAGGTAATTAGATTACTGCAGTGGAAATGTTAGGGAAATTTGAAGTGGGCATCGGACATGTTGAGAAATTGTGCTCAAAGGGATCTCTGCTCAAGAGGTAAGGTATGGCATAGAGAGAAAAGTGTGCAAGCCACGTGCAGCATGATGTCTGGGGATAAGGTAAACCACAACTAGCATCCTTAGATTTTTTTTCAGCAACATACAGAATTAGGATAATAGTTTTTGCCAATGTTGCCTCCTAGAGATAGAATGTAGATCACTATAGATTTTTGTTACTGTTTTTTTGTTTGTTTTATTTTTGATGAGTGTGAGGTAGACTTGCAGACATCCCCTACATTTGCTCTCTTCATGTCTATGACTCTTAATTTAGTATTTCTTAAACCCTGAGCACTGTAAGAGTGAGTTTTGCTTGGTATGTTGATTGTACACTTCATGAAATTAGTGCCTGGCATCATTTTGGCTTTGTCTTTTTTTTTTTTTTCTAAGATAGACACATGTGTTAGTAATTTATTAAGCTTATAACAAATTTAGAAAACCACACTATAACAGCCTGAAACAGGGGAAATATTTTCACAATATTATTAGAGATAAACAACAAGAATTAATAATCCAAAGAACACCCGCAAATTAACATAGTTCAGGCATAGAACCTTATATGGGTTTTGTCTTTTTATTATATGATAGAAAAAAACTTACAGTTTTCAACTAAAACTTTTGAGAAATTAATTCAAGTAGTTTTATGGAGGTTCATAAATACTAAGGGAGATCTTCTATTGAAAATTAAGGTGTAGAATTGTTACCCAGTTTCTAAAATTATTGTGAGAAAGAAGTTATTCCCATTCCCTAAAACTATTAAGTAGACTGAAAGAGTTGTCAGTATAATTATATCGGAAAAATGAAACAAATTGCAATGCTGAATATTGATGTGATAGGAAAACTGATAAGCGTTGTTTTCCCTGGAATTGAATTACTAGGGTAACTTACTAGATGGTCACAAGAAAACAATAATGTTGTGCCATGTTTGAATTCTTAGCTCATGGGCATTTGGCTTTACTTAAATAATTTGCTATTTTATTTATTTTACTTTCCCCTTAGAACAAAGTAATAATTGTGGTAAGTTAGTGATAGACCTTACCTTCCCATGAGCTAGCTGGGCTTTGGGTGCCCTGGTGGGAAGAAGCTGATCCAGAATTTGTTCCTGTGCCATTTTCTATTTGAAAAATAGCTTAGACATCATCTGGATTATTGCCATAATTTTACATATGAGAGAACTCATACCCAAAATATCACATTTCTAAAGTTACACTGTGGATAATGAAAAGTAAGACTCAGGTCTCAAGACTAACAGCTTGGAGGTCTATATCACTGTTTCTCCTGGACCGATTAGATTAGGTATCCCCTTGTTCTTACCTGATAGTCCTGAAAAATTTTTAGATCTTCTTTAAATGCATTTCTCATTTATCTTAATGTTTGGCACTAAACCAACAGTATAAGTGTGTTTTACCTGGGCTGTTAAAAGCACATGACATCATGTTTGGCAGTGGACTAATCGTTTCACTTTGTCCCTCCATGTTTTTCCAATAAGGTGTTTAGCTGTATACATGTTGAGATTTTCCTAGATCAATATATGACTTAATAATATGCAAAATATTTTTAGACCTAAGAATGAGGTCAGAAGTCTGCAAAGACTGTAAATTGTGTGTAATTTGGTAAAAATAGAACAAAAAACCAGTACAAGGTAATGGCTAAGACACTGGGAAATCTTCAGTACAGAAGTATAATCTCCAATTTAGTTCTGGTTTTCTTGCTTCAACAATTCTGGCATATGTTGTTACAGAATATGTTAGACAACCTGTGAAGTATAAAATATTTTTAGAGTGTCCTTAAAACTTAAGGATAACTAGGCCTGTTGTAATCAAATAGTTACCACCTGACTGGTGTGTTGAAAAAAAAAATGAACTTTTTTTTAAAAGATTTATTTTTATTATTATTATTTTTTTTTTATTAGAAAGGTGGATATACAGAGAGGAGAGACAGAGAGGAAGATCTTCCATCCGATGATTCATTCCCCAAGTGAGCGCACCGGCCGATAGTATACTGATCTGAAACCAGGAGCCTCTTCCGGGTCTCCCACGCGGGTGCAGGGTCCCAAAGCTTTGGGCTGTCCTTGACTGCTTTCCCAGGCCACAGGCAGGGAGCTGGAAGGGAAGCAGGGCTGCCAGGATTAGAACTGGCGCCCATATGGGATCCCGGGCGTGCAAGGCGAGGACCTTAACCACTGCGCCATCACGTTGGGCCCAAAAAAATGAACTTAGTAACATAATAAAAATTAAGAATGAAAGGTAGTGCTTCAGTAGAAAAGCTTGGGAAATACAGCAGAAGAGGAGGAACAGTCCTGAAATTTCAAGGATGTGGCCTCAATCTTGGAGAGTAATCTATACATTGAATTACAGTTCTGTCTGCTATGTCAACATTGTTTTAACAACACTATAAAATTACCAGTTAACAATATTTGGTCATCACCCCCAAATTTTTAAAATGAACTCCAGGAAGATAAACAATTTTTGTTTAACAGTTGCAAGTACATCTAATGGTGCCAGTACTCTCTGAGAAACCCTGTTTGAGATGGAGCCAATACGTAGGAGCCCTCAGTACCTGTGTGGGAATGGTTCTAGAATGCCCTAGGATATAAAAACCTGTGGATGCTCAAATCCTTTATATGGCAGTGTAATGTTGGCTTATTACCCATACATATCTTTCCATATTCCTGGATTTTCTAGATTATAATAATATGTTGTAAATGCCGTGTAAATAGCTATCTGCATGATTGAGGAAATAATGAGGAGAGCAAGGTCTGTACATACTTAGTAGGGACACCATTTATTCCTCCAGTATTTTTAATCCTTGATTTTTGGAAACTGGATGCAGACAGCTGACTGAGTTAGCATTTGGGGGAAACATAAGGAAGAAGAAATATTTGTGTGGTTTCTCTGTATACCTTTATGAGGTACTTCATGTATATTTATATAAATTCCACTAACATAAGATGATAAACTTTGTATTTTATACATATAAGTGAAGTTCAGAAGTTAGAGTGCCCACGTATAATCATTAAGCCTTAATTGATACCTTTGAAATATTCTAAAGAATGTTGTTGTATTATTGATGGTCAAATATCTTTAACAGGAGAATGCAGTCTCAGGAAAATTTTGTATATAATCTGAATAATTAAAGTGGATGAAGAGTATTATTAGTATGCATTTTAATATGTTTTTAAAAAAGGTTTTTAGAAAAATGGGAAAAAAGTTCTCTCTACTCTTCCTCCCAGTTTTTCCTGTTATCATCTTGCATTGCTATGGTACACATTTTATGACTCATGAGTCAATATTGATACATTACAAATTGTAGTCTAAAGTTTATATTAGAATTCACTATGGGTTTTGCCAAACATGTATTTACCTTATAGTATCATACAGAATTGTTTATCTGCCCTGGAAATGCACTGTTTCCCTGTTGGTGCGATTGCTAGACCATATGGTAAGCCTATGCTCAGCCACCCTGCCCAATACTGTACCATTTTGTATTTGGCCAGCAGTGAATGCTAGTTGTGTTAACTCCATGTTCTCACCAGCATTTGTGGTCAGTGTTTGATTGCATCCACTCTAGTAGGTGTGTAGTGGCACCTTTTTATTTTTAATTTCCCAGTGCTAGGTGATGTTGAGCATATTTTAATATGCTTATTTTCCATCTCTGTTATTCACGTTGGTAAGGTGTCAGATCACAAAGTTTTGCAGGTTCTTGGTGTGTTTTGGATGCCAGTCCTGTGTCAGATGTTTGGCATGTGTCACCCTGACTGGCTTGTCTTTTCATCCTCTTAATTATCTTGAACGGAGGAGTTTTAAATTTTACTGAAGTCCACCTTGTCAGGTTTTTTGTTGTTGTTGTTATTTATTTTTATTGGAAAGACGGATGAAATTTACAGAGAGAAGGAGGGATAGAGAAAGATCTTCCATTCACTGATTCATTTCTCAAAAGTTTGTAATGGCCCAAGTTAAGCTGAAACCAAAGCCAGGAGCCAGGAACTTCTTCAGGGAATCCTGTGTGGGTGCAGGGTCCCAAGGCTTTAGGCCATCTTCTACTGCTTTCCCAGACCACAGACAGGGAGCTATATGGACA